GGCTTTCCATTCATTCATTGTTGCACTTTTCTCCCCTCCCAACCTTCCCCCCCAATACTCTTCTCTTTGAAAAGTAAAAGAAAAATTCTTTCATTGTTTTACAACCCCCCCACCCCCAGGTCCACTCCACCATGCAGCCTTTGCTCTGGACTCCCGCCATGACAAAATTCAGCAGTGTCTTATAGTTTTCAGTCTGTAAATCTTTCCTGTCCCTGGATTTATTTATTCTTACGTATTTTTTCCTAGAATTGTTTCCTTAATTTTACTTTCATATTTATCATGTATAGAAATCAACCGATTTTTCTTTTATTGTCCTTGCACCAAACAACTGTGCTAAAGTCTTTAATTAGCTCAATTTTCTTATGGACTACTTGGAATATTTTATATATTATTGTTCTTGTTAGGTGCCATCAAGTTGAGTATGAGTCATAGTGACCCTTTGAACAAAAGATTTGAACTCCATTTTTATATATAGGTATATGAATTTTCCCTATTAATAACTTTCCTAATAATGACCAGAGGGTTAAACCAGGCTGCTCCTTAGAGGCAAGGATTCTGGGGCTTCACCTGACATACTTTGGACATGTTGTAAGGAGAGAGAGGTCTTTGGAGAGGGACATCAGGCTGGGCAGAGTGGAGGGACAGCGCAGGAGGGGAAGACCCTCTATGAGGTGGATTGATTCAGTGACTGGGGTAATCGGGATGGATGTGTCAGAGGCAGTGAGATTGGCACAGGATAGAGCAGGGTTTAGGGCTGTTGTACATAGGGTTGCTATGAGTCGCAAGCGACTCGACGGCACATAACAACAACAACAATAATGACCATCCTTGAATGCCTGGAATAAACCAATCTTGGTTATGTTGTTATGTGCTGTCAAGTTGGAACCACTTCACAACTGTCCAGTGGGTTTCCAGAGGTTGTAAACCTGGGAGAAGATAGTCCCACAGAGCAGCTGATGGATTTGAACCACATGCCCTCGGGTTGTTAACACAAATCCTTACCACTAAGGCATTATTACTTGAATATATTTATGGTTTCTACTTGCTAATATCTTATTTGTGTTTTTGTTTATACATAACTGAAATTGTCATAGTGCTTAGTGATTTGTCATGCTATTCTTGTACAGTTTGAATATTGTCAATGATCTAGTCCTGTTGAATGAGTTTGGAAATTTCCCACTTTTTTGTATGGTTTGGAACTCTTGAAATTGTATTGGAATTATTCAAATTTTTTTAGAGATTTTATAGACATGAGATTGCTTGGGTAACAATTACCAGTCTTTAAAACTGTCTTCTCGACTCAGGAATGGGGTTACCTTATGTCATCTATACTTTCTTCCCTGCTCTGTCTGTAACATAGAAGTGCAGTGTGGAACATTTTACCAAATTAGCTTTGGTAAGCTATGACTTGCCCCAAGAACCCATCAGTTCAGAGGGCTATACAAGGAACTCTTCCCCAGGAAGTTGTTTACATCGCTAATAAATCATTACAGTGTTCCCATGGAACTTCTGGACATGTCTGAATTGTGATGGGTCATTATTGAATGAAGGGTCCTCTGATAGCAGAGTTTTTAAAGACTTGAGAAGTGCTTGGCTCTTCAAAAGCCTGTAGGCATCATCCTGGTTGTAATTTGCAGCTGGCTTCCACAGTGTTTGGTGGCCTGTCTCAGAGTGTGCTCCCCAGAGGTTCTGGTTGCCTTCTGGAGAGCCGCAATGGAGGAGTTCCAGCTAGATCTCAGCATGGAGCTCCCTCTGAGCCAAGAGTCCTTTTCCTATTTATGAGAACTTTTTCCTGAGAAGCCACTTCTGAAACGGACAATCTGTCCTTCCAGAAATCACTGAAAACTGGTTAGAAAACCAAGTTGAAGCTCAAGGAACATCAGCAGTCCCAACACCGGCCTTGACACAGGCCCCCATCCAGGCCACATCCTAGTCCCTGTCATCCTCAGTCCCTGCGCAGAAAACCTACCCTGGCCCCTATGGTTTCCATCTGGGCTTCCTGCAGTCTGGGATAGCCAAGTCTGTCACCTCCACATACTACCCTGATCTCAACAAACTGTTCTGCCTGCTGGCCAAGATCTGCCCAGTCTAGCTGTGGGTCACCTCGCCACCTCCACCTGGCACCTGTATCCACACCATGGCCATCTACAAGAAACTGGAGCACATGATGGAGATTGTGAGGTGCTGCCCTCACCACAAACACAACTCTGACAACAATGAGACCTGGCTCCTCCCCAGCACCTCATCTGGGAGGAAGGAAACCTGTGTGCCGAGAATCTAGAGGACAGTACCACTCTGCGACATAGTGTGGTAGTGTCTTATGAGCCACCTGAGGTTGCCTCTGACTGTACCACCATCCACTACAACTTCATGTGTAACAGCTCTTGCATGGGAGGCGTGAACCGGAGGCCCATCCTCACCATCAGCATTCTGGAAGGCTCCAGTGGCAATCTGTTGCTTTGAGATGTGTGTTTGTGCCTATCCTGGGAGAGATAGATGCACTAGATAGAGGCACCGAGGAAGAAAATTCCCACAAGGAGAAGCTCTGCCCAAGCCACCTCCTGGGAACACTAAGCGAGCTCTGCTCCCCAGCATTGTCTCCACTCAGCCAGAAAAGAAGCCGAGTGAAGAATATTTCACCCTTTAGATTCGTAGGTATAAACGCTTCAGGATGTTCCAGGAGCTGAATGAGGCTTTGGAGTTGAATGATGCTGTGGATCCAGATGGGAACGAGGCTCACTCCAGCCCCCCCGAAGACTAAGAAGGGATAATCTACCGGCTGCCATAAAACAACTAATTTCAACAGAGAGGGGCTGGACTCAGACTGAAGTCCTTTGCTGCTTCTCCTTTTTACTCGCTCCACCCCGGCCTTCCCTTCCTAGCATTTGAGACTCAGGTGCTTGAATGGTACTGTACTGGGTACAGGTATGCTTCGAGTGCCCAGAAACTCTTCAATTACTCTGGTCTCCACTAAAGAAGTTGGTCTGCACTGGTGTGTTTTGCAGTGTGAGGGGTGCTGGGAAACTCCAGATTAACTTTTTTTTATACGGAATGCATGAGAGAAAAGGGAAAATGTTCACAGAACCAGTCGTACTTGCATTGGAAGGCCAGACCACTGGCAGGCTAGCTAGAGGGAGCGATCTCAGTGTTCCCTTTCTCCTGACAGCAGTGTACACACGCATAACATGCTGAGACCTGCTTCACTGTTTTGTCATGAGGACGATGATCTGTGTAAGGCCCTAAGATTGCAGGGGGGCTGGCAAGTCAGCAGCCTGCCTGGCCCCAAGTCCTCTTTGGTTACATGGCATCTGGGACTTGACCCATTGGGCCTGCTGCTGGTTCGTTATCCCAACTGAGCAATAAGTTGATTGAGCAGCTGGTTCAAAAGAGGGAGTTTCCATGCCCTTTTTCTGCTGGTTCTAGCCTTTTGATCCTTTTTCTGCTGGTTCTAGCCTTTTGATAAACCTTAACACCCAAAAAGGATACTTTAACCCAACCCAGTCTCTGGATGATTCCAGCTCTGGTGGCATTGCTACCCACCGCCATCTGTTATACTAGCCCCAGGTAACTCAGGATATAGTTTCTATTGCGCTATGCAAGGCACATCTACATTCTTTTCCTGCATCTCATCTCCCTCCTTTTTTTATATCCCATTTATATATATATATATATATACATATTACAATAAAGTTTTGTTATTCAAAAAAACACAACAAACTTGGGAAGTATGCCTACCCACATTGAACAGTAATAGAACTGAACTATCTTTGAGGTTGACAGGCAGCTCTGGTGGCCTAGTGATAAGAAGCTTGCTTCAATCCCAAAGGCACATGGTTTGACTCCATCAGCTACTCTATAGAAGGGTGGGCAATCTCATACCATGTCATTTACTGCCTCTGAAAATCCACTGAATGTCAGCTATGGGTCAGTTCCAACTTGACTGTACTTAACAGCAACAACGGTGAAACTGAGAACAGGCTAAGCAACGTTGTTTTTGTTTTTGTTTTTTTTCTGATAAGATATGAGGAAACTCAAGCTAAGAGGAAGCCCCTCTCACTCTCCCTCCATCCCTTTTGTAATCATAAAAATCATGACTGCTTAGCATAGCCTTTTTCAGTTCCTCAAGTAGCATTTCTTTGCTGAAATGTTGCTCTCAGCTGAGAACTTCAAGCTCAATTATATAACTGAGGGTGTCTAAGGCCCTTGACAATGAGTTACAATTCAATATAGTGAATCAAGGGAATTTGCCATGAATAGATCTATTTTATTCTTGTCAAGACTGAATTATTTTCTTCTTTGATTTTTTTAAACCATGTGTTTCCAGTAATAGAAGACATTTTGAATAAAGTGAAAGTTTGTTCAGGTAATATGAATTTTAATATAATTAGTGAGACATATATGTCCCAAGGGAATCTCTGATGCTGAAATTGGTGGAATAGATCTGTTGCTTCAGATTTTCATTCTTATACAAGGCCCATCAGATGGCAGCACACACTTAACATGGATAGAAACTTCCCACTAAACCCCAGAGGAGGAAAATGCAGGTCTATATGTCCCATGGGTCTAGAAGGACTAAGAGGGGTGCACTGCTCAGTTATCTTTTGATTTCTAATATTAATGCATTTGTTTAAATATACAAATGGTGTTTCTTGGACTGCTACCATTAATTCCTAAATTAAAATTCTGTGAAATACATCTCAAGCAAATGTATATATATCTTTGGAAACTGGTTGAATTAAACTGAAACTCAGTGCTATCAAATCAATTCCAACCCATAACTCCCTTCATCTGGGTTTCTGAAACTAAAAATCACAATGGGAGGAGATTGCCCATATTTCTCCTGCAGAGCCTTTTGTGGATTTGAACCTCCGGAGACTGTGAGACATATGATTAGTAAAGTAACATGAAACAGACTATGCCATCCAAAGTACTTGGTTGAATTAAAAGATAATATTTTTACATCGAGTATAAATTGATTTTTCATGCTTTCCTTCTTGCAGTGAAACAGACCATCATTAACATTTCAATATTTAATGAAACTTGCTTGAGATGGAAAAGTATGAAGATAGCAGATATAGAGGAAATGTACTTCGTAAGTTTCTGCAAGTTGTTCTCCTTATAAAGGTTGATTTTTTGTGTTGTTGTTGTTACATGCTGTTGTTTCGCTTATAACTCATAGCAACCCTATGTACAAAGGTTCTGAACCCTGTTCTACCCTGTGTCAACCTTACTGTCTCTAACACACCTACCCTCATTACCCCAGACACTGAATCAATCCATCTCATGAAAGGTCCCCTGTCTTGCACTGTCTCTCCACCTTCCAAGAATGATGTCCCTCACCAAGGACTGGTCCCTCTTTGCAACATGTCAAAGTATGTCAGACGAAGATTCAGAACCCTTGCTACAAAGGAGCAGTCTGGATAAGGAGCAGCCTGGATTCCCCCTCTCCAAGACAAACCTGTTTGTTCTCTTAGCCAGCCATGGTAAATTCAATACTCTTCTCCAGCAGCAAAACTCAAAGGCATCAATTCTCCCATCATCCCTAGTCATTGTCTAGCTTTCTGATGCATAGCAAGTTAATTGCAAAGACTATGGCCTCGATCAGGTGCACCTTAGTCTCCAGATTGACACTGTTGCTCTTCAGTACTCTGGAGAGGTCCCTGACAGCAGATTTTCCCAATGGAATTAATCTTTTAATTTCCTGGCTATTGGTACTAAGAGTGTTGATTGTAGAGCCAAGCAAACGAAAGCTGTTAACAATATCAATCTCTTCACTGTCTATCATGATGCTGCCAACCAACCCAGTGCTGAGAATCTTTGTTTTTTTGATTTTGAGCTTCAATCCATATTGAAGGCTACAGTCCTTGACCTTCTGGAGTAAGTGTGGAGATTTTCACCTTGGCCCCATTCAACACAGGTAACACCCACAATCCCAAAAGTCCAGCAGTCAGAGTCTGAAACAGATTTTTGTATAGGAGATTTAAATCTATCAATATATCTAAAAACTAAAAAAAGCTGCACCCATCAATAAAAGATTTACAGTAGTAATAACAATAAAAACCAAGAAAGTTGTACTTCTCATGTATATGAGAAGACAAAGGCCTTGAGGAGAGATGAGAAAGCCCTGGGAGTTTTCCATGTGCACATAGCATGAGGCTCACGAAATCTATGGGAAGATTTCTGTGTTTTGTGTGTGTGTATCTCTGTCTACACCAGTGACTCTGTCCAGTTCTGGATGTGTTACCTGAAGAGACAAGGTAATCTTCTGAAGCTGAATATGGTCTTAAGAACAAAAAAAGATGATGGCACAAGCTGCTGCTACTAGAAGGAATTAAGTAGGAAGGAAAGAAAAGAAAAACAAGTAGGACAGAACAGTCATCTCTTAAGCCAAGTGCTGGGATATTACAGAAAAATGTACCAGTGGACTCAGGATGGACACTGGAAGGGAGCAGCAGAGGAGGAGGGTAAAAATACTGTCTAGATTTTAGCAGATCAATTGTTATTCTTGGTGCCATCTAGTCATTTGGTCCACAGCAACCCTATATGACAGACTAGAGCTGCCTTAGAAGGCTTTATTGTTCTGGAAACAGGTCATCAGAATATTCTCCCCCCAGAACTGCTGCTAGGTGAGTTTTAACTGCCTACCTTTTGGTTACAGTGACGCACTTAACTGTTAGTCAATCAGGGTTCCTTTCTATCAGTCAGGCTCCAGAGCAATTAAGAGTATTTTTGTGTTTTCATTCAGGCCTAGGTCTTTCTTTTCTTTCTAGGAAACATGCTTTGGCCTCATTTCTCAGTTTTGCCAACAGTGTTTCTCCTTGCCTGTGCACTGTACATGTGAAGGCAAGAAAGATAAACTTGCCAGTAGTGAGGCCTCCAATTTCATGCCTATTGATTTAAAAATATATTTAATACACAAACAATATCATAATGAAAAGAATTATGCTTTCAAAACTCTAATATTTGTTTACTGTTGTTTTTAAAGAAAGTTTGAAATCAAGAGCGAGAATAGATAGCATTTGTGAAAATGAATGGTCCTGAGGCATCAGAGCCATTCAGAGCCAATAATTCACACTGTTGGGTTTTTTTTAATGTTTCAGGTCCACATTTGGGGCCAGAGATGGTATCAGAAGGAATTTACCCAGGAAATGGTCTTTAATATCACTACCAGCAGCCAGGCTCCTGAGATGTGCTTGGACCTTCGTCCAGGTACCAACTACAATGTCAGCCTCCAGGCTTTGTCTTCAGAACTTCCTGTGGTTATCTCCCTGACAACACAGATAACAGGTAAATAAATCTTGAATAACAGCATTTGGATGAACGAAGTCTCCACAAAACTGTTGATAGGCCGGGATAAAGAGGAACACTATTTCTTTCTATCTTTATATAATGAACTTTAAGAGAGAAAAGGAAGGAAATGGAATTGGAGAGGAGTGCTGAGGGGCCTGCAGCTGTGACTGCAATGCTACCACTGAAAGAGACTTGTGAAGCGAAATGTTAGCATTGGTTAAAAGAGAGTTAAATGCTTTCTGGACTTCGGAAATACTTGAAACTTTTAACACACAAAGAAAAAGGATATATTGTTCTGTTGCTCAGGAACATTGAATTGCTATTTTCTTGCTAATAAAGAGTAGATATCAGTGGACAATGATTTATAGCCCTACTATTAAAAAAACAAAACAACTAAAAAATAACAACAAACCTAACCTCCTGTCTTTGAGCTAATTCTGACTCATTTGGTCCAAATAATTTCCTTGTAAACTAACTTATACTCATTTTCTCCTTTTCCCCCCAAATCTGTGGTACTCCTCTTGCCTTTGCGCTGCCAAGCACACTCTAAAGAATACGCTTCTTTCTCTCACACTAAGAAACTAGAAGTCACCACGTGAAAAATTCCCCTAAATTTCCTACTAAACATCTTTTTGTTCTAGGGCCTTTCCACCTCTGGCCTCCTCATCCAGAGACCCTAGTTCTGGCATGGCTTCCTTTTAATCTGTCAGGTCTCTGCTGAAATGCTGTCAGTTTGGAAAGTCTCACACTGACCACCCTTTTTATTTATGTATTTTTTAAATTTTCCATTCATTCATTGTTACACATTTTCCTCCATGTCTCCCCTCCCCCACTCCAGTATGCTTTTTTCTTTGGGAAAAAAGTTCTTGGTATACAGTCCCCCCACCTCCCTGGAACACTTTACTACTCTTATACTGGACTCTTGTCATAGCAATAATATCTAATCATATGTCCCTTTTATACAGTTCTCTCCCTTGTCTATTTCAATGCCGTGTACATTATTTATCTCCTCTTTTTTAGTTTCCCCGAAACCCTCATATTAGCCCTGTTTTATAGCAGTGGCTTTATACAGTATTTGTCTTTTTGGGACTGAGATATTTCACTCAGCATAATGTCCTCCATGGTCACCCATTTTGTATAATATTTCATGAGTTCTTTGTTTTTCACTACTGAATAATATTACATTGTGTGAATATATACCACAGCTTCTCTATCCATTCATTTGTTGATGGGCACTTGGGCTATTTCAACTCTTTGCTATTGTGAACAAAGCAGAAATAAACATGGGTGTGTATATATTTGCTTGGGTGGCAGTTCTGATTTCTTTAGGGTAAATTCCCAGTAGTGGAATTACCGGGTCAAATGGTATTTTTATTTGCAACTTTTTGAGAGAGTGCCATACTGCTTTCCATAGTGGCTGCATCATTTTACACTCTCACCAACAGTGAGTGAATAAGGGTTCCAGTTTCTCCACAACCTCGCCAACATTTGTTGCTTGCTACTCTGTTAAATTTTGCTGTTTTTACTGGGGTGAGATGATATCTCATAGTTGTTTTAATTTGTATCTCTCTTAGAACTTGGGAATTTGAACATTTCTTCATGTGTTTGTTGGCCATCTGAATGTCTTCTTTTGTGAAGTGTCTGTTCATATCCTGTGCCCATTTTGCAATTGGGCTGTTTATCTTGTTGTGGTGCTCAAGTATTCTATAAATTCTAGATAAGTGTCCCTTATAATACATGTGATTACCAAATATTTTTTCCCAGTCTATGGCTTCCCTTTTTACCCTCTTGGAGAAGTTTTTGGGTGTGCATGGGATTTGATTCTTAGAAGGTCCCATTCATCTATTTTATCCTCTCCTGGTTGTAGGTTGACCACCCTTTTAAAAATAACTCTCTCATTCCCACCCCTTCACATTTCTATCCAGCTTGGATTTCTTCATAGAACTTGAGTTCTGAAATGATAGTTTTGTTTGTTTGACTTTTATTTCTCACCTAGAATTTGAAAGCTTTGTGTGTGTGTGTTCAGCATGGGATCCTCAATATTTTAAAATGGTACTACATGAGTAAACAAATAAAGGCTAAGCCATAAACGGCCTGTGAGTGATATTGGCATTATGATTTGTTTAGTCAAGAATTAGATAAAAATTAATTAAGCATTGGGTTGTAGGGAAAAGTACCATTCAATTTGGGCTGTAACTTACACAAATGAAGTTATTCAGTCTCATGCTCTTTGGTCTCTGCCATATTTGTGTTACTTTCTTTTCTGATTTGAATGAATGCTTTCCAGATATTTTTGGTGGTTAGGGATTAATGTCTCACATTTATGAGATATTAATCTTGTTCTAAATATAGCCTACAGCTCAAGCTTTCTGTTTGTGCACATGGCCACAAGGGGACACTATTGAGCTGTTTAAGATCTTGATAACTGTTGTTTCTTGAGACCATGATTGCATATTTTCCAACTTGATAAGAAGCTGCACCGCAATCCCAAATGCATGTGGTTCAAAACCACCAGTAGCTTCACAGGAGGATGAACAGTCTCTTTCCATGTGATGTACTGCTTCTGAAAATCCTCTGGAGGGCCAGCTCCGAGTCAAGTTACAGCTTCATCAAGTTACAACTTGATAGCACACAACAACAACCACAACACCCAATCAGAAACCCAAACCTATACTTGATTCTGACTGTTAGCAACCCTATAGAATTAAGTAGAATTGTCCCGGAGGGTTCTGAAGACTGCCTCACCAACTGCAGCTGGTGGTTTAAAACCACTGACTTTGAGCTGCCTCTCAAATCCATTGTGCCATCAGGGCTTCTTAGCAGCCATATGAGACAGATTTACAAGGCTGAAATCTCTATGGACACCAACTGCCACATCTTTCTCTCCTGGGTTTGAACCTCTCATCTTTTGGCTTGCAGCTGAGCGCTTTAACCATGGTGTCACCAGAGCTCCTGACTCTATTTTTCTAAATAGCGACTTTTAAAAATCATAAATCAGTTTCTAAGATCTTATGAAAGAGTTAAAACAACCACAATGAAAAACCTCCCTTGTATAAAAATGGAAAAAAGAGAACTTTTTATGTCTATGTGAAGAGGTATGCTTGTTTGCCCAAGATGTGGCTTTTTTCCCAATCAAATTGGGAACTTGTAGATTTTACCACAAATGTTATCTTAGGAATTTGGGCAGAAAACACAGTAGCTGATTTCCCAGCAGAAAAGAGCAGGGGATTTCTCTTTTGTCTTATGTTGAATTAAATCCTTCTGACTGAACAGGATGAAAACAAATGCTTTAAATGCATTGCTGACCTCAGAGGAGAGCGAAAGTTCTGGGAAGGTTGAGGGACAGAAGCAAATGTTTCAGTCAAAGTGGGGGGGAAGAGGGTGCTGGCAAGAGGGGTGAGGGAGCTGGACAGCACATGTCACATGCCATGGTGCTCCTTGGTCATGGGGGACGTGCTTCCTGAGGCACTCAGCGAGCTGAACTCTGCAGAATAAGCCCACCATTCATTCCTCTTTAGGACAAGTGAAGAACCACTCCTCCCTCTTTCATGTAGACACCAGGAAGCCTGAAGAGCTTTCTGACATGGTTTATGCCATTTTCTCACAGAAATCTAAAAGCTTCTAGGCAGGCTTTTCTTCTTAAAAAGAGAGAGGAAATACCAGAGAGAGAAAATCAGAGAAAGAGCAAGTGAATATATGCATGCATGTAAAAATAAACCAAGCACTTGTACTATTCAGTACACATGGTCATTATTTGAGGTTGGATTTTTGTTATGGAACCAAAAATGCTGGAGGTTAAAACAGGGTGAGGGAAAGATATAAAAGATACCATTCTTTCCCATGCCAATCTTCAGCACCAACATAAGAAATTTTTGTGGGAAATTTCCCATCACTAAGATTGTTGTTTTTTGTTGTTGTGTATCATAGAGTCAATAATAGAGGATGAAGAGATTGAGATTTTTAACAGCTTCAGTTTGCTTGGCTCCACAATCAACACTCTTGGTACCGGCAGCCTGGACATCAAAAGACAAATTGTGTTGGGGAAAGTCTTCTGTCAGGGACATCTCTAGAGTACTGAAGAACACCATCAGTCTGGAAACTAAGGTGTGTCTGATCCAGGCCTTAGTCTTAGCTGTTATTTGCTATGCATCACAAAGTTGGACAATGACTAGGGACGATAGAAGGAGAATTGATGTCTTTCAGCAGTGGTGTTGGAGTATTGAATCTACCATGGACTGCTAGGAGAACAAATAAGTTTGTCCTAGAATGGGTGAAACCAGGCTGCTCCTTGGAGGCAAGGATTCTGAAGCTTTGTTTGACATACTTTGGGCATGTTACATGGAGTGACCAGTGCTTGGAGAGGGACAGCATGCTTGGGAGGGTGAAGGGACAGCACAAGAGAGGAAGACCCTTGCTGAGATGGATTAATTCAGTGACTGTGGTAATGGAGGGTAGGTGTGTCATGGACAATAAGTTTGGCAGAGGATAAAGCTCAGAGCTGTTGTACGTAGGGTTGCTATGAGTTGCAACAGACTTGAGGACATATAACAATAACAACAAACCATAGAGTCCAAACCAATCCATAGTTGACTCTCCAGTGGGTTTTCAGGAGCAGTTAATCACGAGGGAGGAAACTGCCCATCTTAGTCCTGTGGCGCAGTTGGTGACTTCGAACCACGTGTCTTTGGAATGCAGTGCCGCTTCTTACCACTAGGCCGCCAGAGCTCCCTAGAGTAGGAACTAGGAAACCATACTGGGCAGTTCTACCCTGTCTTATAGGGTTACAATGAGTCAGAATAGACTCGATGGGGGAAAAAATAGCTATAATAAAAATGTACTACTTCTGTCAATTAGAAAATGGAGAAGCAGAGATATGTCCCAAGCATTATTGGACTGGCATTTTAACAGTAAGATCCATCTGGACATCTCTATTTTCCCCTATATAACTAGGGACTCCGTCCCTGCCTCTAACATCTCCTTCCTTACTGCTGTGTCCA